ATTAAACAAATAATTGTAAGGTTCACTGTCCATTCAAGCTATTAGCAGTAAGATAATAAACATACTGTAAATTGCATTTTAAATGCCAGATTGTTGGAATTAATATTCTATAGTGTCTATCCTAATTCTGTCATTTAAAAATTATCTCTATATCCTACTTTGCATTTGTTCACTCCAAGTCTGGGGTACCTAACAATGAAATGACCGTCCTCCATTCTCAACGCTCCAATCTTTATAGCCTATTCTAAACAGCTCAAGAAAGTAAAGTAGAAACCTCAGTGGGACTGTATAAAGAGGTTATTTTTCCTCACCTTATCTTCCTTGTTCCCTAATCAGTGGTATTCATCTGTCACTCTGATTAAGGCACTTAGTGACAATTTATGTATGTTAGCATTGATGCTACAGAGGTATGCTTGATTGAAGGTCAACGCATATAAATATTTCCAGATTGTAGAATGTAGTAATTTAGCTAACAAGCAAGCTTTTAAAAGTTTCATTCTGTAGATGATTTTAGAATATCATAAAATATTGACCCATTTTAAGAAAGCAGAAAATAAAATTGGAATATATTGCACATTCTCTGACAGTCATGCTAAGCCATGGCCAGAATGGCCAGAGTTCAAATATCTTATCTTTGGCACTAATGCCAGGTGTCTTGGAATTTAAACACCAGCAAAAGGGATTTTGAAAACAGGGAGATCAAAAATATTCTGAACTTTGTTTTGATTCTAGGCCTTCACATTTCTGTCTAGGATTAAAGTTGTGGAAAAGTTAGGATAGTCACAGACTAATTCCTGGTCAAATGCAGCAGCTACTTCACATGCTTTAGAGCTTTGTGCTATAAAAATGCTATAGAGCATCTAATTCCTTCTTAGGCTGGGAACTTGGTAGTGCCCACTTTAAGAATAAATTGGTGATTTCCTCTTAAAGTCCCTTAGGTGATTTTCTAAGCTCAATAATCAAGAAAATACTTTACTGAAAATTGAATTGGAAATTTCCCCATTGCTGCAAGGGCCTCTGAATTTTAGAGTCATCAGGCAGTAAAATAGAAAGGAGTTGTTGAGGTAGTGTTAAGACAATCTTAAGTGACTTAATACTTGTGTGGTTGGGGCAACAGCCCCTTCCCAGTTCCAATCCAGGATGGTGGAATGGAGGTTTTTCTCAGTTTGGGAGTGCTTTTCTGTCATGTTGTGGTTCCCCATCTCCGTTAGGGTGTTTCTGTAACAGGCATTTTATTTTAAACTTTGATGTAGTTCAGTGGTATGATCTTCAAACCTTTACAAACAGGCTGTTCAAACCATATAAATTCATTTAAATATGTTTCATAAGTGCTTGGTAAAGACTAAAAGTTGGCATGCTAAATCTAGTTTTGTCAGCCTAGAATTCCTAGTCAGAAAGGAAACAACATAGCCTTTTGAAACCTGTAGTAATGCAATTATATATCCTGTAGAAAGGTAGTTACCTCTCAGATATCCTCTTAACATGTTCTTCCAGGTGATAAAATTGGTGCATCATAACTTTCAAAATAAAAATATCTAAACTTTAGACATTGTTTATTTATTAACTAATAACACAACAGAAGCCTAGAAACTTTCTTAAATTAGTGATGTAATTAGTGAAATTGGTTGGGACAAATGACTAGGCTAATTTAACTTCTTCATAAATTTTCCTTTGCCTTTCTGTGTGCTTTTAGAACTTGGTAATACCTACAAATGTGTACTGTCTTCTCTTAGGGAAGTAGATCTAGTTGAAATATTTGTACAAGCTGTTCTTGTTTCCTCCAAAGGAAGATTGCATAAGAGAGTTTTAATCTGTTGTGTAGGATGACCCATATTTAGGTCGTCAACAATGTAATTACTGTTGGAATGTGCTTTAAACATTTTGAGAGGTAGTAGCTTGCTTAGAATAGACAAGATTTCCTTTTTGAGTTGTATAGATAGTTGTAGAATTTTACAGAAGGGCAAGGAGATAAGATAAATCCAACCTCTGTGCTTTTTTTTTTTTTTTGACAAATGTTTGCTTGTTTTTATTGATGAGATGTATACCCACAATCAAGATGTGGGATAGTTCCATCACCAAAAAAGTTTCTTTTGCCTCTTCCCAGTCAATCCTCTGCCCGACTCCTGACCCCAGGCAACCATTTATCTACCTCCTGTTGTTGGAGACTAGTATTTTGTTGTTGTTGTTGTTGTTTGTTTACAGCTAATTTATTCAAACAGAAAACAGGAACAAAAACACTTCAATGCTATATATACTCTGTTAATGTGGTCAGGCTAATTTTGCCAGGGGAAGAAACTTAACTTTTGAATCTTTGAATGTCCAGACCTTTAATCCGAGTAGTCTATTTCCTTGCCTGTTACACAATTTCTGTTCATAAAAGACAGAACAACAAAGGAGTTTTCCTCTCTTCTCCTTGCTCATCTCTAAGAGAATAGGCTGTCTGCACCCTGAAGGCTGCTCCAGGGCATGGCCACCTTTCTAAATTTTTTTTTTTTTTGGTATTATTAATGTACAATTACATGAACAACATTATAGTTACTAGACTCCCCCTATTATCGAGTCCCCACCACATACCCCATTATAGTCACTGTCCATCAGCATAGTAAGATGCTATAGAGTCATTACTTGTCTTCTCTGTGCTATACTGCCTTCCCCGTGTCCACCCCCCTCCCCTCTCCCCCCCCCCCACTACATTTACATTATGTGTGCTAATTGTAATACCCCTTTTTCCCCTTATCCCTCCCTTCCCACCCATCCTCCCCAATTCCTTTCCCCTTTGGTAACTGTTAGTCCATTCTTGGGTTCTGTGAGTCTGCTGCTATTTTGTTCCTTCAGTTTTTTCTGTGTTCTTATACTCCAGAGATGAGTGAAATCATTTGGTACTTGTCTTTCTCCGCCTGGCTTATTTCACTGAGCATAATACCCTCTAGCTCCATTCATGTTGTTGCAAATGGTAGGATCTGATTTCTTCTTATGACTGAGTAATATTCCATTGTGTATATGTACCACATCTTCTTTATCCATTCATCTACTGATGGACACTTAGGTTGCTTCCATTTCTTGGCTATTGTAAATAGTGCTGTGATAAACATAGAGGTGCATATGTCTTTTTCAAACTGTGCTCCTTCATTCTTAGGGTACATTCCTAGGAGTGGGATTCCTGGGCCAAATGGTATTTCTATTTTGAGCATTTTGAGGAACCTCCATACTGCTCTCCACAATGGTTGAACTAATTTACATTCCCACCAGCAGTGTAGGAGGGTTCCCCTTTCTCACATCCTTGCCAACATTTGTTGTTGTTTGTCTTTTGGATGGTGGCCATCCTAACTGGTGTGAGGTGGTATCTCATTATGGTTTTAATTTGCATTTCTCTGATGATTAGCGATGTGGAACATCTTTTCATCTGTCTGTTGGCCATCTGAATTTATTCTTTGGAGAACTGTTCAGCTCCTCTGCCCATTTTTTAATTGGCTTAGTTGCTTTTTGTTTGTTGAGGTGCATGAGCTCTTTATATAATTTGGATGTCAACCCCTTATCAGTATGTCATCTCTGAATGTATTCTCCCATACTGTAGGATGTCTTTTTGTTCTACTGATGGTGTCTTTTGCTGTACAGAAGCTTTTTAATTTGATATAGTCCCACTTGTTCATTTTTGCCTTTGTTTCCCTTGCCCCGGGAGATAATGTTCATGAAGAAGTTGCTCATGTTTATGTCCAAGAGATTTTTGCCTATGTTTTTTTCTAAGAGTTTTATGGTTTCATGACTTACATTCAAGTTTTTGATCCATTTTGAGTTTACTTTTGTGTATGGGGTTAGGTGATCCAGTTTCATTCTCTTACATGTAGCTGTCCAGTTTTGCCAACACCAGCTGTTGAAGAGGCTGTCATTTCCCCGTTGTATATCCATGGCTCTTTTATCATATATTAATTGACCATATATGCTTGGGTTTATGTCTGGGCTCTCTAGTCTGTTCCATTGGTCTGTGCATCTGTTCTTGTGCCAGTACCAAATTGTCTTGATTACTGTGGCTTTGTAATAGAGCTAGAAGTCAGAAAGCGTAATTCCCCCTGCTTTATTCTTCCTTCTCAGGATTGCTTTGGCTATTTGGGGTCTTTTGTCATTCCATATGAATTTTAGAACTATTTGTTCCAGTTCGTAGAAGAATGCTGTTGGTATTTTGATAGGGATTGCATTGAATCTGTAGATTGCTTTAGCAGGATGGCCATTTTGACAATATTAATTCTTCCTATCCATGAACACAGGATGTGTTTCCGTTTATTGGTATGTTCTTTAATTTCTCTCATGAGTGTCTTGTAGTTTTCAGAGTATAGGTCTTTCACTTCCTTGGTTAGGTTTATTCCTAGGTATATTATTCTTTTGGATGTAATTGTGAATAGAATTATTTTCCTGATTTCTCTTTGTGCTAGTTCATCGTTAGTGTATAGGAATGCAACAGATTTCTGTGTACTAATTTTGTATCCCGCGACTTTACTGAATTCAGATATTAGGTCTAGTAGTTTTGGAATGGATTCCTTAGGGTTTTTTATGTACAGTATCATGTTATCTGCAAACATTGACAGTTTGACTTCTTCCTTACCAATCTGGATGCCTTGTATTTCTTTGTGT